CCCCCGCGGGCTGCCCTCTACAGTGCCTGATCCAGCCAGCCCGGATCGCATACCGATGCGATCCGCGCTGGCTGGATCTAATCAGGCACTTTAGAGGGCCGCCCGCGGGGGCCTCCAGAGGACAGCCTAGAGAAGCGATCGGCCGCCATGTACAGAGCCGCATCTGTAGCGGCTCTGTACTCTGTAAGGGAGGGAGCCACTGCACCGGCGGCCGTAAAATTCTATTAGCGGGGCCAGTGACGGGCCCCCTGACGGCCGCGGGGAGCTGCCGTTTTTAAGGGCAGCACAGAGGCCCGGGGGGCAATTGCCACCTTGCTCCCCGGCCCAGTCCGCCCCTGCTTGCCAATACAACTAGCCAGTTCTAAAATATTTACCTCTGTGATCTGAAAACTTTTCACAGCTTTTGTGACACAACTCAAACACTTTTCTCATACATCATTATCCCATAGTAAGTAGATGATATTAATTAGGAGAGGGTGTTTTTACAATTTTTCAGACCTCCAGTCATGTTCTTGCACAATCATGATGTGCTGTGAAATATTTCCTGACACCATGTTGTTAGCATTATGTTGACTAAGACCACTATGAGGATATAATTCTGGAGTATTTGCCCGATACTCACTTGGATGAGTGGTGAAAGGTGAAACATTCTTAACATTACCAAACAAGTATAGTTCAATGCGACCAGGGGAGGACTAGGATGGGGGACAGAGGGGCATTTCCCCCCCATGCCAGTACTAATAGGAAATGCTGGGCTGATGGCCCTGAGTGGAGGTACTTCACTATTCAAACATCTATTAGAGCAGGACCCGCAGTCAGTGACACATGCTAGACAGTATATAGCTACCTGCTCCCATTGAACCCACAGCAACTGGCAGAGGGAAGTATACCAGCACCAACTTGCTTTGCGGCTCTAAGTTGTTATGGGACTAAATGACAAGAACTGCAAAGGAAGCTGATAGGGATCCACCAATACTGATACCAATATCGGTATTGGGGCCGATACTGGGCATTTTCAGGAGTACCCGTACTCCTGAAAATGCCCTGATACTAAGCGCCACATTTGCTGGGGACCTCATGGCAGCCTTGTGGGGACTTCGTAGTGGCTGATTACAGTGCTGGCCAGCCAAACATCTCCTCCTTTCCGCCACCCGCACAGCCATGGTGAGATCCGGCACAGCACTAGGGAGTACTGCACCCACCCGTACAGCCCTGGTGAGACCAACACACTGCCAGTACAGCCCTGGTGAGACCTGCACCCACCCACACAGCCCTGTTGAGACCCACACCCGCCTGCACAGTCCTGGTGAGACCCTCACCCGCCCATACAGCCCTGGTGAGACCTGCATCCCCCTGTACAGCCCTGGTGAGACCTCTACCTGCACGTACAGCGCTGGTGAGACCCACAAGCAGCCATAGTGAGAACTGCACACAGCCCTGGTGAGACCCGCACAGCCCTGGTCAGAATTTTGTGACCTATCTTTTTTTCTCTATCCTACCTCCTCATTTCTGGGCTGTCCACCTAACTTCTGCTACCTGATCTATCCACCCACCTCACACATACCAAAACTGTGCATGGCAAGCCCACAGGAGGTCACAGAGTATCATCACAACCCCCAATCTTTCCCTTGTGACTGTGTATTGTCATAGTTGCCTGTTGGTTGCTCATGTATTGTTATGATTACACATTTGTTGTCCATGTAGATACATTTTAGTGTGCGTGTATTAAACAGAGGAAGTAAGAGAGCAAGATTTCACACCCCAAATGGCAATTGTTAACTGTGTTGAATATTTTCCACACAACTAAAAGATGTATATAAAAGTAAATATGAGTCAGTAGAGTTAATAACTAATTATTAAACTTATTTTACTGATTATTGAACTCAATTAGGTATTAAACTAGTGTGTGAATGGTAGATATGGTGTAGAAGGTGACAATTAATGAGATAACAAAAAATGTATGTGTAACAAGGAAAATACATTAATATATGTGCATAAAGTAAACATATATATTGTAATCTCAAAAGTTACATGAAAAGCCATGATCATAAAAGTGCAAGTGCTGAAGTGCCAGATATTGCTGAGTGAATGTATATTAAAGTGCCATGATAGAAAATCCCAGAAATTAAATAATGGGTCAAGTAAATACCTCATAGCAAACCTCTGATGCATTCAGTTTGTTGTCCATGTATTCTATCAATTGCAGCATAAGTGACATATAGAGAAAAAATCATAGGTGGTTTGACATTGGGACCGGGGAGGAAGAAGTTCTGCTGTAGGTGGTTTTGGAAGAAAATTATATTGGCAGAAAAGTGAAATGTTTGCTTGGGAGGCTCTCTGTGTGTTCCTTACTCCTGATCCCTGCACTTTGTGTGTTACTTTCTACTGACCTCTGCATTATGTGTGTTACTTACTCCTCACTTCTGCACTTTGTATGTTTCATTTTAAATATATCTGTACACCATAACCTATAATGGTAGGCAAGCATACCAGGATCTAGACATACTGTACATGTCCAAGAATCCACCCTTTCAGAATTCCTTAAACAAAAGTGGCACTCTAATAATTATAATTTTATTTTCCTCAGATTTTCTTTCCTTACAGGGGCAGATAAACACAAACTTCAGCCTCCTGACTAACACTCAGCCATCTATTTTTTCAAAGGATTCAGCAAATCACAGTTTTTGGAGTTCAGTTTTGAGTGTGCTTGACTTACTTCAGCATTCCTCTCAGCTTCTCACGGCTGACTAGTACAACGTTTTTGCTTTCGAAGTTCCTACTTCTGTACTTTTTCTGGACATATTTGTCATTCTCCATAAACAGACTTCCTATTCTCCTCCACTGAGCCACATAGGCACTGACAGGGCCTTGGGTTCCGCAGGATATGCTTCACACTCAGAGAAGGTATACCCTCTATTCCTAATATGACACTCCCAAGGCCTGGTATTAGGTCAATCATGTACCAAGTGCTATCATGTGGGGAAGACACAGGGAGTGACCCTAAGCAGTATTATGTGAGGCAGCCTATGCAGATATTGATTTACAGAGTGTGGGTATTTGTACACCATCTTGGACACCATCTTTCACTTACATTTAATTATTAAATTTCTTGCCCTCTGAATCAACAACAATGTATACCTTAAGTCGCCTAAACTCAAATACCAAGCATGTGTCCCAGTCACACCTCCCGTCATGTTTTGGATGTTTAACACCTGCCTTTAATGAGCTGACTGAGTTACATGTGTGGCTGTAAAGGCTTGGGTATGTTCCTGACACTTATTAGAACTGAAGAGACTACATGGATTAGTGTAGAAGCATCTTCAACATTACAGAACAACTTAATTTGAATGCGACTAAATACAAATAGTTATACCATGATCTGGATACACAAAAACCTGCACAGACATATTGTAATTAAGTTATTTTCCAAGTGTCTAAGGGTTGCACACAAATGTAAATGTTTTTGTTGGTCTTTCAGTTAAACTGTTCTGCCAAAGTAAGCTGTAGTAGAAGTAAAAAAATGGAAATCTGTGTCAGCACCGGCTTATGTTATGCTTATAAAGACATGTGAGTAAAGCAGTGACCACAAAAGGATGCATTGTTAATGACACATGAGTTTGGTTGAAGTAAAGCTAAGCTTGTTTAACGTCAACGTTCCAAAACGAGTAAGCGGATGACTTTGTTAAGAGAGAGAAAGCCTGCCAGCGTAATGTAAATGACTGCATTGTCATGCCTGCTATAGCTAATAAGATATCAATATTAATACATTATTTTGAAACTCTAATAACAGAAAACGATTTTTTTTTTAAATAAGACAACTGCATCTAGTAAGCCATATATATGACAGTATACACAAAGAAGTTCTTTTAAGAAAAAGAGAAAGTGGGGTTTTGAAAGCAACGGATAAATGACAACTCCAAACAGAAAAATACATTAAAAATATATTTATTTCATATAAATCTTAAAAGGAGAGGCTCAAAGCCAATGATAAAAATTATTATTTAACTAAATAGATAGTCCCTACACAGCTCTTTCCACATAACACAGTACCTCTTAATTTACAAAGCCAACATGATTCACCCTATGTTTTTATGGATATACATGATTTGGGATTAAAGTGCCAATGACCAGATTAACATACAGAAAGGCCCTTGACAAGGATGTTCATAGGGCTGTGGAATGGAATAATGCTCTTTGCTAGCACTGCTTTAGGAGCAGAATGTGGCCCTAGGAGCAAAATATGATTCAGTTGGTAGTAGGAAGCAACTATACAAACATGATAAATTATAGAAGCCAGTGCTGGTTCAATTAGGGATCCGCATGATTCCTCATCCAAATTGATGGATTTAAAATATTTGTCCACAATAATGCTTTATCTGATGTCCACAGTATATAGGTATTTGATTCTGTGGGTAGTGCTTGGAGGGTTGGAAGGTAAGGTGGCTGTGCAGAGTCTATGGAGGGTTGTGTGGACTCTCTGGTAGGCTGTCAGGGGTCTATGGTTGGCTGTATGGGTTCCCAGGTGGATATGCAGGTTCTATGGTGGGCTGTGTGGACTCTCAGGTGGGTTGTGGAGGTTCTATGGTGGGCTGTGTGGACTCTCAGGTGGCTATGCGGGGTCTATGCTGTGCTGTGCAGGATTAATGGTGGGCTGTGTAGCTCTATCCTGGGCTATGCTGTGGGTTTAAAGTCAAGTTACAGGGATCCCCCGCAATGAGAGTTTTAATTAGCTCATATCCTGTATTACCATTATAGTTAAGTGAGGCAGATGATGCTTTTTATTTTTTTAACAGTGAGATTGATTAAGCAGTGATTATGCAGATCCTCCCTTTTCCAGTTAGTTTTAAAAAAGGGCATGTCCTAACTCACAGAATAATGTTAATAAACACTCTGTTAAACATAACATGTATTGCTATTGTATAGCATAATATACTGTACATTACTTGTGCCATTACTTTTCTGGAATCAAAGTACCTTCCAACCCTCCAAGCACTACCCACAGAATCAAATACCTATATACTGTGGACATCAGATAAAGCATTATTGTGGACAAATATTTTAAATCCATCAATTTGGATGAGGAATCATGCGGATCCCTAATTGAACCAGCATTGGCTTCTATAATTTACCATGTTTGTATAGTTGCTTCCTACTACCAACTGAATCATATTTTGCTCCTAGGGCCACATTCTGCTCCTAAAGCAGTGCTAGCAAAGAGCATTATTCCATTCCACAGCCCTATGAACATCCTTGTCAAGGGCCTTTCTGTATGTTAATCTGGTCATTGGCACTTTAATCCCAAATCATGTATGTCCATAAGAACATAGGGTGAATCATGTTGGCTATGTAAATTAAGAGGCACTGTGTTATGTGGAAAGAGCTGTGTAGGGACTATCTATTTAGTTAAATAATAATTTTATCATTGGCTTTGAGCCTCTCCTTTTAAGATTTATATGAAATAAATATATTTTTTTATGTATTTTTCTGTTTGGAGTTGTCATTTATCCGGTGCTTTCAAAACCCCACTTTCTCTTTTTCTTAAAAGAACTTCTTTGTGTATACCATTATCAGGGGTGTGGCACCTAATATCCAGATCCAGGTCAAAAATGTATCTATCCAATATATATGACAGTGTCTGGCTGATTCACACATTTCTTAAAGTTGACTCTGCTCCACCAGAAATCCAGCCCTGCAATCTGTGGATGGATTGTTACCTACAGATTGTCAGAATTTTAAGTTTATTAAAAGCCTACCTTTTCCCCCTAAATTGCAAACTAGCATCTGCCAATTAAACCATTGTGTTGCCTAAAACATTATTAGAATATACCTGATTATAATGGGACACCTTCTGCCAGACGCTGAAATGAAGGCTGGATCTCACCAGGGTTTTTATGTAATTTCCTTGAGATGTGCAAACTACTGCAGAAGCAACATTTCCTGTGGGTACTGGGGATATCCTCACTGACTTACTGTCACTCCTGAAGTCAATGGGCTGAGATAGGCATGGCCAGCCACTGACTGACTGGATGGCTGCTATCAAATAAAGGTCACAACACGCTCATCCACACCCTCCACTTGCATCATCATGTCCTGCTGTAGGTCCAGCGACTGAAGTGTGGCAACACTGCAATGCTTTTCTTGGCTCAAGACTTCTGCTGGCAGCATTGCCAGGTATTTTTTTTACCATTAAAGTAAATCTGTGTACAGATTATGAATGTTAAAAGAGTTCACATAGCATAGTTGTTTTTAATAATGCAATAAAATTTTAGTTGAAAATAATGCCTTTAATGTAGTGAATGCTGCCTTCCTTCTGCCCATCACTTTTGACTACATCCTGGATTCCCAGTGTGCTTCACCTCTCGTTCCCTGCTGCTTAATGTAATGCAATCTCAATTTCTCAAGGCTATCTATCCCTTCATGCATTGCTTGCAGGAAGCAATGATGACGTTACATTGTGGGAAGTTCAGACAATGATTTGTAGTTTAGCGGGTGACACAAGGAAGTGCAAATTCACAGGGCTGAGTGAAATTGTGTCAGTGCATTAAGCAAGTACATCCTATGGGTATCTTCAATAAGTAGGTTTACAAACTTCTAGATCATTATGGTTATTAGGAGTGGAATGGAACTTATGGAAAGTCAATATAAAAAAATATTTTTATTTTTATTTTTTGACCATAGATAACCTTTAAAGGTTTTACATATTCTTAGACAGTAAAAGAGCTCTAAAACAAGACTTCACTGACCTCTCTAGCAGCAGGCTCCACTGCCCCTCCTACAGGCCAGGAACCGGCATCATGGGTGTCAGCTGAAAGAAGAGAGGGAGACCAGTGAACATCCAATCCCTGATCCCCTTCATGCTGAATGACCCTGGAAGCAAATTTTGTCACTTCCCGTTTCTGAGCCGTCGTTCCCCAGCCAGAGAAGCTGGGGCACAAGCTGATCAAGTGCAATCTGTGCTGGATTAGCTTCAATAGGCAGAAGAAAGGACAGTGTCAGCATGAATTCTGAGATGATCTGAGGATTTACAGCCCAGTGATAAACAAATTAGCTACATTTTTTGTTTATAGTTAAGGTACTTTGAATGTATATGATTTTGACCCCTGAGTTTACGTTAACTTTAATTTGATGACTTGTAAAAGCTTTTAAAGGGTCACCTTTAGACAATTTTGGGTACCTTATTTTTTTGCCATTTTATGGGTGCACTGTTATGGGTGTTATATTTTATCAACAAATTGGGTAATGCATTGTATTTACGTGGCCTAAATTAAGTGTTTATTGTAAATGTGGGTTTTGATAATATCATGCGGCATAAAAAATTGCAGCTGCTACCATTATATTCTACAGGGTCCCTGATTTCAGGAAATATATAATTCTAGGGGGTTTTAGGTACTCTTCAGTCCTAAACATTTGCATTTTCCCATGTATGCAAAAAAAACCAAAAGAGTGCAAAAATGGTTTTGGCAGCAAAAGGGTTAATAGAGTCTTAGTGGTGGATAACATATATAATGCTACTTAGTTGAAATTATATCATGTTAGGGTCCATAGAACCTATTATGGGCAGCTTCACATAGATGTATCTTCTGTAGAATTGGTACAAACCTATACAAATTCCACCCAGTTAGACTATACTTTATATATTATAAACATGTTATCCAACAAATATTGCCGCTAGCATATAAATATGAATGAACACACACTAAAAAAAGAGCAGTTAAATAGACACAAAGGATCTATACATTTTCTATAGCTTATAGAAAGCCCTCAGCACTGCTGACTCACTGCAGATGTCAGCAAGGACAGATATATAAAAGGGCTTCCACACAGCCCCTGCTGCAAGTCACAGCTTCAGCAGCAACCTCCGGACAAGATGGTGAAGGTATGGCATACACATATGCACACCATAAAATATAGATTACAGTTATATTTAACTGTAGAAAGTTGTGTTTTTCGTATTATTTTTCTTGAAAAAAAAAGTTTTTTTTTTTAATAGATTGTTTTCTACGAGGACAAAAACTTTCAGGGCCGCTCCTATGAGTGCAACTCTGATTCCTCTGACTTGTCTACATACATCAGTCGGTGTAACTCTATTCGAGTTGAGAATGGAAACTGGATTCTGTATGAACATCCCAACTACAGAGGACACCAGTACTTCCTGAGGAGGGGAGAATATCCTGACTTCCAGCAATGGCTGGGTTACAATGACTTTATTAGATCCTGCCGCTTGACCCCACAGGTAAGAACTATAATCGAATTAATTTATAATATGCACACAAAGGCTAGACTGTAGTCTGTAGAGTGATCTACTCTTAATTGAGGGTTATTTTTTTTGGTATATTTAGAGAAGGTTTTTTTTTTAATTATTTAATATTGTTTTTATTTGTGTTTTTTTTTCCTTTTTTGTGTATTTTGTTATTTGTCACTTCTTTCCCTTTTTTTGTATTTTTTGAAAACAAACATACAAAATAAGGCTAATAAAGGGTCATTTTTCTTTGGCACAAGAACCAAATGGCCTTCTGTACATCTTAGGAGCTAATTAAAGCCCATTGCACTCTTAAAAACCCTTTTATTTTGCCTTCCCTATTGACTCCAATGCATTTGGTGGAAATAGTTTTGCCAAAAATGTTTGGGAAACAAACTGGTTCATATGCTAACTGCTTTTTTTTAGCACTCTTCATTAAAATATAGCTTTAACATTGACAAACAACTGTGACAAATTAATTTGTTTTTTGTTTTTTTCTGGGGGGTACAGCACCGTGGACCATTCAGGCTTAGATTGTATGAAAAGGAAGAATTTAAAGGACAGATGATGGAGTTCACTGAAGACTGTCCTCATGTCTTTGAGCAGTTCCGCTATAATGACATCCACTCCTGCCATGTGCAAGATGGATATTGGATCTTTTATGAGGAGCCTAACTACAGAGGACATCAGTATTACCTGAGACCTGGAGAGTACAGAAGATATAGCGACTGGGGGGCATCCAGCTCAAGAATTGGTTCCTTCAGACGAGTCCAATACCTTTATTAAAAGTACAATTTAAAACATAATATTCTGTGATTAGAAAGTAATAAATCTAGCTAAACAATCATTTTATATTGTTTTTTTATGCTTTTGAAATTAACTTTTAATACTATACCTGAAAAGGAACAGAAAAGGAACAAAGAGTATATCTGAGTTTAGACAGATTTTTTAAAAATACATCTAATGCTAAGCTCAATCTGATACCAAAACAAATGGACCTAACATGGAGTTGCCTTGAAAACATTTTGGGTTCTAGATACACCCCCCATGTTCGGTTCGAATTCGAACCTTCGAACATGGGAAAAGTTTGAGCTCGAACTCAATGCAAGTCTATGGGGGTAGAACTTTGAAAATCAAGTATCTCCATTTTGAAGCCTTATATGCAATTTATTGGCCATAAAAAGTGTGTGAAGATTTGGGTACTGCCCTGGGGGACAAGAATCAATGAAAAAAAATACTGTTTTTAAAGGAGCAGTGATTTTAACATCACCAGCCACCATCGTGCCTGGTGGGGTTCCTAAACTGCCTGTAAATTGTCACATCTATACGATGTATACACTTTACAGGCAGCTGCAGCAAAACTGACATTTCTAAAAAAACAACAACAAAAAACTTTTTTTTAAAGCGTGCGGTTCCTTCTCCCACACAATACCAGATGTGGGGTCCCCCCTAAAATTCCCAACCAGACCCTTGATCCGAGCACAGGCCTGGCAGGGCAGGAAAGGGGGGATGAGTGAGCGCCCCCCCTCCCTGCCATACCAGGCCACATGCCCTCGGCACTGGGAGGGTGCTTTTTCAGGGTCGCCGTGCCGATGGGGACAAATGCTCTGAGAACCCTTTATCATGTATTACATGTTTATTTATAAAACAAACATATCTCCATATGCTTTCCAGGCCCTCCTTTGCAACAGAGTTATAACATTTTAGACCCTGCCCAGAATTACTGCCCTACTAAATTTTAAAAGTAAGAAGAAAAGTGCAAGCCTTTCCTCACACCTTCTAATTTGTAGTAATCTGGTGGCTAGACTTCCAGTGTCCACAGGAATTATTTTATTCAAACCATAAGGCTGTTGCCCCTGTTTCCTATGCCTTTGATTTTGGTAGAGCGGAATACATGTAGACACCAAGATATGCCTGTTTTAAAGTACTTCTGCCAGATTACTGACCTTTAGAAAGACACATATTTGCTTTAATAAGCCATTGACAAAGTTCCTGGCACTTGAGAATAAACAAGGGCACAAAAACATCATACATGTTCTCTTTCCAATGCTCTCACCCTTTGGGTAAATAATTTTTTTGCTATATAGGAGGTAAAAAATTATGGGCAGACTGGCAGACTTTTTGAATCTCATTGCAACTCTCTCCTTGCCAAAGAAGAAAATATACAATGTATTATTGATATTAAAAAAACTTCTGCTAATGATTTCCTATCTATAGTGTGCAGCTGCCAACACTTAGAGGGTTATTCACTATAGAGCCGAAGGATCGAGCCGTAGCTTTGGCTCACTTCGGCCGCCGGTGCTCTTCAGTTCAGTCGAACCAAAGTCAGCCGAGCAGCTCAGCTGAGTCAAATGCATATGCGTTGGCTTGGCTGAGCCGTAGTGACATCCGATGTGGGAAGAAGTTCAACCGGAGCCGACCGTTCTCCCCGCAAAAGACAACAACTGGGCGGAGCCAGCCGTAATGTCACAGCTGGCTCCCCCCAGTTGTTGTCAATCAATAACAGCCCAACATCCTCAAAGACAATAGGCTGTCATTACATGACAACAGTTGGGCAGAGCCAGCCGTGATGTCAATCCTATGCATTTTTCTCATGAAACTGGATTATTGCACTAGTGAACAAATCCTACTAAAATGATGGTCATCGAGTATTCTCTGATCACAAAGCCCAAATTCACACCATTTAAAGTGTATATCCCAACAGTTAAGCTGGCCATACACTGCTTAGATTTCCGAAAGAACTTTCGTAAGAAAGATCTTTCTTTCAACTTTCTATTAGTTGATTGGGACAATTGATTTCAACCATAGTGACTAAAAAAGTCCAAGAAGCAGGATGGAAATTTTTTCATGAACAAATTTCTAACAGAGAATGTGGTTGTCATTCGGGAAGCTCTATTAATTCCAAAATCGAATGTGAAAATAAAATGAAATTTGATCGACATTCGTCAAGTGTCTGATGTCATTATCAGGTGGAAAAGAAAGATATTTTGTGCAAAAGTTAATTTGAGAATTCTTCTAGCGTATGGCCAGCTTTAGCTTAAACAAACTCAAGTACAGTGTTCTACAGCAAATCCGTTTATATGTCACTTCTAAGTCCAAATAAACATAGGATTTAAGTAAAGCATGCCTATCTGCAACTGACAAAATAAATAATCCCACTCTCCTCACGGTACTGGACAGCTACCAGTGCCTTAGTTCTCTATTGGTGCCTCAGCCTCACCCCCACTTTGCTCTTTACTCCTTCACCTGCAAAGTTCCCTTTCAAAAATTACTAATTTCCTAAAACTTGATTCTTGCACACTGTTAAACATGTTTCCCAGTGTTTCTTCTTCTTCCTTTGGTTTGAGACAGTTTTACTTTAATTAACTTGATGTAGCACAGTTAAGTCTTTTTAAAGCAGAACGTGTTCACATGTCTCATCCCATCACATATTCCAAAAAAAAGAGGATTCATTCTCATTTTAGTACTGTAGGTGGTGCCATGCAAATCATTCCTTTACATTGAACATTCAGAATATTATAAATCCATTTATTCCTAACTACATATAGCTGTCCTAAAAAAAGGAAAAAGCTCCTATTTTTGTGATATGTGATGGAATCAGACATGTGATTACCTTCTGTTCTAAAAAGGATCTACTATACTATGCACTGATTCGGTTGGAAGGCTATTTGAATTAGTTAGTCTCTTCTCACCATAACTGGTATGGTGATACTTGCTTATTTAATTAACTTGCAGAGTTTAATGATTTTCAAAAATGTACCCTTTAGCTTATCTTCTAAATGCTCAACAAATATATTGAGAAGCAATTAATTTATGCACCCCTTTTACATCATGTGTGCAATATAAATATTATTTAGCATCTGTGTTATGTGAAAACGTCAAAAAAATATAAGAATACATAATTTAGCCCAATCATATATTCATTACCCCTCCATGTCCAGTGGTAGCGGAAATCTTTGTGGAAAAGCCAAATGTAAAGTTTGCGCATATGCTAATTTATTTAACACAAACTGTTTTACTGCTTTACATGCCAAAGGTTTTTGATATTTTTTCAGGGCATATAAGACTCTCATTTGGTATATATTTTATTATAAAAAGACATAGGGGGAAAAAAAGTTAAACAATGCTGCTGAAACAGCAGTGCAGGCAGAAAGAAATTGGCAAAACCAATTAATTGTTGAACCATGCTTTTATTGCATGGCGTAGGCCATTTGAGGATGGCCTTAATCTTTTTTGGATCCATCTCTGCATGACCTGGTGATAGGATGTATCCAAGAAATTCAATAGAGGAAACCTCAAACTCGCTCTTCTTGATCTTGGCATACAACCTATGGAGTCAAAGACGTTGTAATACAGTCTTTACATGCATCTCATGTTCTGGGAGTGTCTGAGAAAACACAAGGATATCATCCAGGTACACAACTAGGAAGGTGTCTAAGAGATCCCTAAATACTTCATTGATGAAGCACTGAAATGTAGCCGGTGTGTTGCATAATCCGAACGGCATTACTAGATATTCGTTATGACCAAAACGGAAGGCTGTCTTCCATTCATGCCCCTCCTGGATGCGGATGAGATTATAAGCTCCCCTGAGGTCGATCTTAGTAAACACTCGGGCGTCATTTACCCTATCCAGCAGATCAGGAATGAGTGGGAGTGGGTAGCGATTCTTTATGGTTATAGAACTGAGAGCCCTATAGTCCACACAAGGCTGGAGACCGCCATCTTTTTTTCCCACGGAGAAAATGCCTGCACCTACTGGTGACATGGATGGGCGTATGAGTCCCTTAGCCAGACTCTCTTCAATATACTCTTTCAAGACCTTGGTCTTAGGTTCCGATAGGTTGTAGAGATGACCATGGGGTAAAGGGGCCCCAGGCAGGAGATCGATGGGACAGTCATACGGCCTGTGAGGTGGTAAGGTATTGGCTTCACTCTTCTCAAATGCATCTGCAAATTCGTGGTATTTGGTGTGTAAAGATGGCTTGGTGGTATTCAGGAGTATTTTAGGGGTACTTGTAGGGATCATACAATTTGAGGAACAATGGGGGAACTTGAAGGATAGATGTCCAGTAACCCATTCAATCTTTCGGTTGTGTTTCCTTAGCCAGGTAATACCTAGGATGAGGGGGAACAAAGGTGTGGGCACAATATCCCACACAATCCTCTCTTGATTATATACCCCTATGCGAAATACAACCAGATGGGATTCTATGGTAACTGGCCCTGTTTTTAGGGGAACTGCCATCCACCATGTGTAACAGAGAGGGATGTTCCCTTTGTTGGACTGGCATCTTCAATTGGGAAGCGAGGTTAGTTTCCAGAAAGCAACTACTGGCGCTTAAATCGATGATCACGGAGAGTTCAACAACGTTCTTGCCCAGCTGCAAGGATATAGGAATGGTAAGATGAAAAGTGGCATTGTACACAGGCATATTGAGACAGATCGTGTGTGGAGAGGACATACCTGCTTGTGGTCTTATGGAGCAATCGTTTAGGATATGGCCAGGCTTGGCACAATAAAGACACAGGTGGAGGTTTCTTCTCCTTGTTCTCTCCACTGCTGATAACGGTCCGCGAACCAATCCCACTTGCATGGGTTCCTCCTGATCAATTGCCCCTTTGGCCGGGGTCAACACTGGGATAGGAAGTGGAAAAGGTTTGGCTCTCCGGGGTGGCACTGGCAAGGAACTCAGTCTCTCTTGTCTTCTCTCACAAAAACAGCGATCTAGGTGTGCCACTGAAATGATTAATTGCTCCAGAGTAGGAGGTATACCGATTCATGTTAATTCATCTTTTAGCTGATTGGATAAACCAATACGGAATTGGTCAATCAGAGCAACGTAATTTAGTGCAGTATCAGGTACCACCTCCCTGAACTCGATAATGTAATCCTCCACTGGTCTTCTCCCTGTCGCAGAGACAGGAGGGTATTACGGGCAGTAGCAGAACGCAGAAGGTCATTATACAAAACATTCATGGCATTTACAAATGATTCCCAGGTATTTAATATTGGGCTGTCACTGTGTAGTAACTGATGAGCCCAGGTTTGAGGAGGCCCAGAAAGTAAATAAATTGCAGTATGCCCCTTAATGTAGTCTGTGACATAAGGGAGAATAGTAATTTGCATGAGGAAATAAGCATCCGGTAGTCCTTGCGTCGGCCAGAAAACCTCTCGGGTAAGGCAACAGGAGACTCATGCGTCACGACTTCAAACATGTGATGAGAAGGGGTAGGAGATGAGAAGGGTAAAGCAGTAGCCTCTGCGTGTGTTGCTCCTGCGTAACACAGTCTCATGCCTTGCTTGACGTTCTTGAAGAGCTTGTGTCATACCTTCCACTGGTTGAAAGAGTAATGTCATGGCCTCAGGTGTTCCCGCGCGGTCCATGGTGAGGCTCAGTTATTATGTAGTGGAGGGGGCGGAGTCCCCTGTCTGCTGGTGTGGAACCCAATAGCAGGGAACAATACCAGAATGAGAGTCCAGGCTAAGGTACCAAAATAGGAGAATGCAAGAATGTGTCATCAGAATATAGTCCAGGTCAAGGCAGGCAGCAAGTATCATAAACGGAAAGTCACGCCAGGGGTCAATAACCAGGAGATCCAATCGCGGGGAAAGAAGGAAGGCAGGAAACAGGGAGACAGGAGATAAGGCTTTGTAGCAGCTTTGGGTATGGCAGAAACACTCATCATCAAGTATTGGCTCTGGCTGGAATTTAAACCCAGCAGGGACCAGAAACGCCAGCGTTGTCAGGGCAACGAGGGAGCTACAGGTCCCTGGGAGTCAATAGAACGGCAAGGAGAGAAGGTGTGCACGCAAGGTCCTCTACGTTGATGAACAGCACCTGAGGTGACTAATAGGCCATGTCAACGTCACGGTGTGCACGCGTCACGCACGCATGAGCGCACCTGCAACCAGCCACCGCTGGGCATCAATTCACCCCAAGAAAGACCCTATGATCCCTGCGGTGCCCATCGGCACCCAGGTAAGAGGGCACGCCGCCCTGGTCCCACGACACACTTGCTTAAACAGACAAATAAAAATCTGACAGTGGGTGTAATCCTTTCCTGCTCTATCCGAGACAAAATAAAATGTAAAAAGTACAACCACCTAAGAAGGTAAGTATATCTAAGGTTCCATGAATGACTGATGACTCCAAAGATTATTGGATATGCATACTAGACCAGTCACCCAGACTGACCCAAATGTCTTTACAGTTGCACTCCTACAAACCCTCTAGCTTTTTACTCCACAAATCATAAGGGTTGATTTTCATTAGATAAGCAAGTTTAAAAGAAAACACAGGAATTAATTTAATATAATTCAATTTCCAGCAGCCAATCTGCTGAAGTCATAACTCACATTCCTTAAACTCATTAAAAAGTAATGTATAAATTACACATATTTATGTGCTATGAAGATAAAATATGTAATATAAATGATGACTATGGAACTTTTTTTGAAAAATGTTTTTTTGAATAGCATTAAAAACTCCCAAGTAAAATAGGGGCTTCCAAATGAAAAAAAATCTTCTACCTATCATGACATCAAATACAAGCAATGGTTTAGATTTTTTATTTTTTACAGTAGTTTCAAACAAATGTTCCACCCATGACCTTTGGATCAGTTGCAAATATACATCAGTAGGGATAGTCCATGAAAGTGAGTTGTGTGCACAAATAAGACAAAGGACCTATATATATCCTATAGCTAACAGAAAACAGTCAGCATCAATGACTTCCTGCAACATCAGCAGAAAGAGATAAATAAAAGAGCTTTTACACCACTCTGAAACAGCTCACATTTCACAGCTTCTGGCTCACATCTCCAGTCAAAATGGTTAAGGTATGCTACTTTGCTATTTAAAAAACAGAATAAAAGCTGGGGTTTGTACTTTAAAGAATTAAGATGATATATTTGTAAAGATTTGCTTCACATACCTAGATGACATATAGTTTTAAAACATTTTTAAAGAAACAACTGAAGCAGTCAGAATTCTGAAGCTAATAATAAACATGTTGTATGCAAGGTACAAGCTGAATATCTGGTATATGTAACACATTCAGGACTTTTGAAAATTGTTTTAAATACATTGTCATTGTCTCTCTTTAGATCGTCTTCTACGAGGACAGGAATTTCCAGGGTCGCTCTTATGAGTGCAACTCTGATTCCTCTGACTTGTCTTCATACTTTAATCATTGTAACTCCATCCGAGTGGAGAATGGAAACTGGATCCTGTATGAACATCCCAACTACAGAGGACACCAGTACTTTTTGAGGAAAGGAGAATATCCTGACTTCCAGCAATGGTTGGGATACAATGACTCTATCAGGTCCTGCCGACTCACCCCACAGGTATATTTTATATAGTAGAATACACTAGGTAATATTTTGAAATGTGACTTAAATCAGTTGTTTCACTTGCTCCCTAACTATGCCCTATATCTGAGGCAGCAGCAATTATTATAATATATTTTAATTTAATACAGCACCGTGGACCCTTCAGGTTAAATGTTTATGAAAGAGAAGACTTTAAAGGACAGATGATGGAGTTCACTGAAGATTGTCCTCACGTTTTTGAGCAATTCCGCTACAATGACATCAACTCCTGCCATGTACATGATGGATACTGGATGTTCTATGAAGAGCCCAACTACAGAGGACGTCAATATTACCTGAGACCTGGGGAGTACAGGAAATACAGTGACTGGGGAGCTTCTAACTCAAGAATTGGTTCTTTTAGACGTGTCCAGCATCAGTATTGAACATATAAATAATCATTTACCACCACCTAAAGGTTAATAAAATTTAACTGTGATGTAAACTTTATACCATGTTTTGTGTCATTTTGATATTGTGAGAATATGAAAAAAGGGTAATGATGTAGTCTATGCTCTTAGTGTAGCCAGTTCCAAATTGTTCTTTTAATAATTTACAAAAAAGAAATCTCAGTTCTTCATTCATAGTAACACAAGACTTTTTAACCACCTTTCTGAACTACTTAGTCCATTGACACAAAAATCTGTAATCCACAACCATATTAAGTTTTGTGGTTGTTAATGGCTGTTTAGAATAACTTACTAGTCTGGGTGTACAGAAGATGATGTACTTATCTAAAGTGAGTAAAATCACTTGACAATATATCTGACTTGCTCACTACCTATTGGTTTATGTATGTTCAAAATTCTTTATATACAGGTGAAACTCGAATAATTAGAATATCGTGTAAAAGTTCATTTATTTCACTAATGCAACTTAAAAGGTGAAACTAATATATGAGATAGACTCATTACATGCAAAGCAAGATAGTTCAAGCCGTGATTTGTCATAATTGTGATGATCATGGCTTACAGCTCATGAAAACCCCAAATCCACAATCTCAGAAAATTAGAATATTACATGCAATCAATAAAACAAGGATTGTACATAGAACAATATCGGACCTCTGAAAAGTATAAGCATGCATATGTACTCAGTACTTGGTTTGGGCCCCTTTTGCAGCAATTACTGCCTCAATGCGGCGTGGCATGGAAGCTATCAGCCTGTGGCACTGCTGAGGTGTTATGGAAGACCAGGATGCTTCAATAGCGGCCTTCAGCTCTTCTGCATTGTTCGGTCTCATGTCTCTCATCTTTCTCTTGGCAATGCCCCATAGATTCTCTATGGGGTTCAGGTCAGGCGAGTTTGCTGGCCAATCAAGCACAGTAATCCCACGGTCATTGAACCAGGTTTTGGTGCTTTTGGCAGTGTGGGCAGGTGCCACGTCCTGCTGGAAAATGAAGTCAGCATCCCCATAGAGCTCGTCTGTGGAAGGAAGCATGAAGTGCTCCAAAATCTCCTGGTAGACGGCTGCGTTGACCCTGGCCTTAATGAAGCACAGTGGACCAACACCAGCAGATGACATGGCTCCCCAAATCAACACAGACTGTGGAAACTTCACACTGGACTTCAAGCATCTTGCAGTGTGTGCCTCTCCATTCTTCCTCCATACTCTGGGTCCTTGGTTTCCAAATGAGATGCAAAATTTGCTCTCATCAGAAAAGAGGACTTTGGACCACTGAGCAACAGACCAGGTCTGTTTTTCTTTAGCCCAGGTAAGACGCTTCTGACGTTGTTTGTTGTTCAGGACTGGCTTGACAAGAGGAATACGACATTTGAAGCCCATGTCCAGGATCCATCTGTGTGTGGTGGCTCTTGATGCACTGACTCCAGCCTCAGTCCACTCCTTGTGAAAGTCCCCAACACTTTTGACCGGCCTTTTCCTGACAATCCTCTCCTCAAATGGTGGACCCATTTCCTTTGGGGACCTGTCGCAACAGGTCCCTCACAGTACTAGGCAAGTGGGCTCTCCCGAAGAGAGACCCACCTCCTGGGCCCCGAAGAAACCTGCACCTTCAGCATCTGTGGGTCAATTTAAAAATAAAAAAGTGCCAAACGTGCATAGAGTGCATAAATAAATCTAAAGTGCCAGTGCACCACGCTGACAGGCCTTAGGGGCCGGAGTGCAAAAATATTGCCCCGGACTAGCCATAAGGCCTGTCCAAGAGGCGTTGTTCAGAAATAAGCAATATGGTGTGTGACCAAGTGCTACAGTGAGTCATGTGGGGTCCCATACCCAAGTGACTTTCTGAGCACCCCTGCCATAATAAATGAGTACTATAGAGACCACAATAAGGACTGAATTCAATCAAACCTATCAAGGCCAACCACTCATTCACACACTAACATATGCAGGAGATTAGACAGATGGATAGGTGATAGATAGATAGATAGATAGAAACATACAGAGTTCTTCAACCCAGAAAAATCTCTCTCTCTAAGGAATTCCAATACATACTGAAGTACCTTCAAATCAAAAATAGTGCTAACATCCCCCTATGTGATAGCACATTATACTGTATGTGACAGGTTATTTTGAATGTGACATTAATGTGACATTTGTACTCCATTGAAGCTGATCAAGAACAGAGGTCAGGAAATGGTAGCTGTGAGCTCAGAAGTACCAAGTTCATTAACAGGAGAGAAGATCAACAAATAGATGTTCACTGGTCTCTGGCTTTCTCAGGCCTTCAGAGGGGTGCACATTCCAGAGACCACAGAAGTGACTGGATGGCCCTACATCCGTTCTTATCACTAATCTAACTACAGAGGATGTCAGTATCACCTGAGACCTGGAGAGTACAGATGCAAAAATGCACCTTGCCTGTGTAGGCAAGGATCCTAGCACCGGCCCTGAGTTCAGTGCATACATTGCAGATATACAACTATTAGGCTACAAAAAGAAAGTACCTAAGTGCATTCACATAACAGAAGTGCAGTGCATTTTCCCAGGAGGAATTAAAAGCAAAAGGTACACTTTTCAGGGTGCTGCTAAGGCACAATTAACATTTCTGGATGTTCCATATAAGATAGCACATTTTTACATTTTGAGTTCAGGCCATCTTTAATTTCCAATAATATGTTTTTTTTTTATACAGACTTCCCCTTAACTTTTTTATTTTCTATGGTTTTCATTTTACGAAAACTGCTCAGTTTATTTCCACAATCAACTGACATTGATGGTGCAGTAGATAAAGGATTAATGTAAATTCTGTAAAACAAACTAGATACAGCAGCTGTATTACTCCTATACCTTTAAGAAAGGCTGTTTCTTGTTAAGAATATATAAATATTTAGTATGCATGATGTGGGCACAGATTTACTTTAAATAGCAATGGTCACATGGTAAATGGGCTCTCTATGACCAGCAAAGTTCTAGTTTGCCACAGACCACCCAGTCTATAGTGTCTTCCTGATAGAGTATTAGGCAAAGCAGATTGCATCTTCACAGCAAGATTGTGTTAAAGTCATAAAAGGGTCAGAAACTTTGGGACCATGTGTTCTGTATGATTTTGGTCAATAGAAAATAGCTCAACAATACCCCATGCTAAAAATTTGAATGACTCATCGTGAATTCGTAAGAATCCTCCGCCAACCGCGCATGCGCCAAGTGCGCAGTCCCTTAACGCGCGGCAACGCTCTCTTAGCCCATGCGCAGATGAGTCCATCCAGCAAAACAGAAATGCGCCAAAGTGGCGCACAGGAAGTGACGCAGCACACTCATCACTTCCCCTATATAAACCCAGCCTAAGCACCACCATATTGCTGGATTATCTTCTGCTATCCTCTGTTCCTGGCTTGGGGATTACATAAGGTTGATATAAAAAAGATTCAGGTTCAAGGCGCACGAACCGGCATGGACGTGCTTTAGGTTTGCTCTGTGCCACCCGGGCAAGTTCTTGTTGATCTAGGTGCTTTAGCCTTCCGCAGCAGCCGGTATTTTCGCCTTAGCCATTGCTACCTTGCGCTCTGTAAAAATTGGGAGGAATGTCCTCTAATGCAGCGCTGCCCCTGAGGTGAGGGTAAACAAATGTCGGTTGCGGTACTAGGTGTGCGGCTCCTAAAAACCTTCCGCTCTGTACCTTTCCATGGTGAGATCCAAGAAATCCAGCCACTCCCACCGCACAGCAAGGAGCAGTCCATTCCTCCCCAGCTGATGAAGCTTCCGGTTCAGCGGCCGACGAGGACAGCCAGCTTCAGTTTCCATCAGCCATCCTCCACCAGGACATGGAGGAGGAGGACTCAATGCTTACTAAATTCCGAAGCATTGTCCATGAAGAAGTCTCCCTGGCCTCTCACAAGCTCTCTTCAGAACTCCTCCATGAAATCGGAAATATAGGCCAGAGGACCCATGAGCTTGAGTGTCGTATGACCGATGTGGCCACGGTCCTTGACGGCCATGAAAAGGATTTAGACGGACTGCGTTATGAGCTCGATTCCCTGCAGTCCAAGCAAGAAGATGCTGAAAATAGAGCCCGCCGCAGTAATCTCCGTATATGAGACCTGCTGTAGTCTGTCACCAATCTTCTAGACACCATTATGGCCGTCTTTCAGGAACTGGCTCCCGACATACAACCCTTCTCAAATGAAAGGCCTTGAAGCCGTATCTGTAGGTTCTACAATCATGAGGTGTTTGCTATTGCTGGGGCTTCCCATTTAAACTTTTTCTTTACTATAAGGATTAGCAATACCAGGCGAACATGTACCTTGGAGATCTGATGTCTATTGTGGCAGGGTGGAGTCGATCTTTATCACTTTTTCTCAAATCAGTTATATGGCTATGTGTCCTTTCATGGTGGGGATTACTTTAATTTTTTCTCCCATTGTGTTTTTATGTAGAGGTTCCCTTCCCCCTTCTTTCCTATCACCCATCATCCCTCCCCCTCCCCCCTCCATTTATATTTTGGGTTTTGCATAATATTTTGCCTTTTTTTGTACTGGATCTTCTTGCCCGGGTCCCATGTTGCTCCCTGTTGCTGAACGAGTTTCGAGTGGTTCTGACTCTCGAACAGCTTGTTTGCACTTTGTATTGCACCTATATGTTTTCTCCCAATTCCTATCCCTTAATATTTATTCCTCTCTTTTTCCTCTCCCACTTTCTTTTTCTGTCTTTATCTTATCTCGATTTCTTTTCTTTCCTTGTCCCCCCAACCCCCGCATTCCCTTTTTTTTCTCTCTTTTTCCTAATTTCTCTGCTAGTGCCTCGGTATTGCCTATTTTTTTTTTTCTCGCTCTCACCATGGTCTTTAAATGGATGTCCATTAATTTCCAGGTTCTGAACTCCCCTCAGAAGTGGGTTAAGGTTTTTTGTCATCTTTGCTCCCATTACATTGACCTGGCATGCCTTCAGAAAACGCAGTTTTCTCAGTCATCTGCTCCTAAATAC